GTGTGTGAGTGAGTGAGTGAGTGAGTGAGTGAGTGAGTGAGTGAGTGAGTGAGTGAGTGAGTGAGTGAGTGAGTGAGTGAGTGAGTGAGTGAGTGAGTGAGAGTGTGCGAGTGTGCTTTGAAATTGATGACTTCAGCAGCAGACTCCACTTCATCTTTTAGTCAGTGTTCTCATATACCTAAACTCTTTATAGATTTTTGGACAAATTAAGGCAATAAACTATGAATCTGTTTTGTGATTTGTTACCATGATAAGATATGGAAATGGTAGCAAGCCAAGATTTACGTTTTGGCAATGACAATCCTTAGTCTCATGCACCTCCAATGCAGCATAAATATAGACAAGACAATAAAAACAGTGCAAGAGAATGTTTCAAGTCACCAATGGGAAGGTAAATGCAGAGATAAGTAAACTAAATACATGTAAAATAGATCAAGATGAGTGAAATTAAATTCTGTACAGTAGATTAACAGCGTTTTGTAAAACCAACGAGAAGTAAATAAGTTTGCTTGAGCTACTGTGACTTTGCATTTTAGTATTCTATGACACGATTGTGGCCAGTGTTAAGTTACAATGTCGTATTATTTAACACTGCTTCCCATCTAAAACCTCTGTGACCTCTCTGACCTCTGTGTTCTGCAGTCCACATGTGTGTCATGACAGCAGGATGTGCACTTTTTCCATAGAATGGGCTACAGCGGATGGTTTGAATCTGACACACAGCTTTAGCACATTTCTTTGCAACTTTTCTACATTTGAAAAGTTCCATCTGTTCTTTAATTCATCTCCTTCCTCCCATTCTTTGAGTCACTTTTTATTTCTGTCTCATCTCTTCGAACACCTCTCCCTCCACTTTCTCTACTCCCGTTCCCTCCTCTCTTCTTTCCTAATATTCTCTCCTCCCACTTCTGATCGGTTTAACCAGGAGGGAAGGACTTCTCTTAGGATTTGAACTTTTTGAGCTGAGGAGGGAAGTCTGGATCTGGAGGGATCAATTTTGTATTTGTTCTTGAATTGTTTCTGCTTCCTGTACAGACTTGCACACTCTTTGTTAGATTGACAGGCTTGGATACAGCATCAACAAAACACGGTTGCCTGGTGACTCAACTCTTTCAGAAACTAGAGGAATTTGTTTCCGGCCGGTCAAGCCTGATATTTCATGTTTTAGGGCTGCATTCTGGAGCCATTTCTTTTCATTAAAACTAAAAACTGTTTGGCCATGTAGAACTAGGAAAACAGTTTTATCAAACTACAAATCAAATATAAGTTCCATCGCTGCCCATCATCCTACAAAGTAAACTATCTGTTTTTAGATTTTAGAATGGCAGATGCAAACATTGATGCAAAAATACTGAATAAATAATCAGCTCATTTATTTTTTGTAAGAAGAATTCATACTATCTTTCTGTGTTTACAAATTGCATGATGATGAGACAGTATGGCACTACATTTACCTGCTTCTGCTTTACTCTCTGACTCAGTGTAGAGTTGATCTTGACCTCAGTAAATGTTTCGCTGGCACTGTGTTTGAGGATTAAGTATTTCTCCATTCGTTTGATTGGCTCCATTCAGTTCTCTTCTTTTTCCTACACATTACATGACTCTGCACTATTATGCTAATTTGTTGTGCCTCTGTGACATGTTTCCATGCTCTAATGTTAAAAAAGCTCTTTATTGTTCTCATACTGCCTGTGCTGCAGCACCTCTTTTTACCCTCTGTCTGAAACCAGAGCCCAGTCTGCTCTGATTGGTTAGCTGGCTGGCTCTGTTGTGATTTGTCAACTGCTTAGAGTTGTCCCGCCCCTTAGCCTCACAAACCAACAAAGACAGACAGAAAAACCAGAACTTAAATACACACAAGACCAATCAAAGAAACAAGAGACATGTGAGGAGGGAGGAGAAAACACAGGGGCACAAGGTGAACACAATCGGGTAATCAGACAGGAGGGAACACAGACAGAAAGCAACAGGCAAGACAGGGGGGGAACACTTTTCAAAATAAAACAGGAAACCAAAGACAGAAAAAGACAAGACAAAACAAAACACAGACAGATCGTGACAGATATGAAAGGTATTTGGGTGTAGCTGCATAAGAGGCACGAACAGTACACTGAAAAAACTGAACCGTTTACTTAAATTCAATGTCTTGTATGTATATTATATCAACAAATTAGGTTAGTTGAAAGCAATAATATTAAGTTGAACCTATTACTTAAACTGAATATTATTGCTTTCAACTAACCTAATACAGTTATGAGAGATCTGTTGACATAATACTCTAAATTAGAGTCAACGTTTGAGTTTTTACAGTGTAAGTTACTGATGGAAGAGGAATCAATTACTAACTTTACCTGTTAACCTAGACACAATGGGACCAGTTGCAGGACTCATGACATAACATTGAAATGCTTGTATAGGACTTAGTGTTGAGCAATGGGACAATACACATCATTATTGTCAGTTATTCTTAATGAAAATGCTTCAAATTATAGCCTTTCTGCGATAACATTCTTGTATTGATAATCATATTTACAGAACCACTGTTGTATCATTCATGTTTGTCAATACAGTTATAGACAGATAGATTGATACGTAGATAGATAGATAGATAGATAGATAGATAGATAGATAGATATAGATAGATAGATAGATAGATAGATAGATAGACAGACAACATGCACACAGAAGTGGGAGAAGTACACAGATCTTGTACTTGAGTAAAAGTAGAAGTACCAGAGTGTAGGAATATTCTGATACAAGTAAAAGTCCTGCATTCAAAATGTTACTCAAGTAAAAGTCCAAAAGTATTAGCATCAGAATATACCTAAAGTACCAAAAGTAAAAGTAGTCATTCTGCAGATTGGTCCATTTCAGAATAATCTATGATATGTTTTATAATGATTGATCATGAAAGTGTTCTCAAAGCTGGTAAAGGTGCAGCTAGTTTGAATGACTTTGTAAACTGCAGGGTAGCTTGTGAATTTACTCCAAGTGGAACTAAAGTCTGATTCAACACTTGATTATATTTCACATCATTCATACAGATCTGTAAAGTATAAAGGTATCTAATAAATGTAGTGGAGTAAAAGTACATGATTTACCATTGTTGATGTGCTTTTATTTGCTGTAGTTAGTTAAGTGGCATCGTTTTTTCCTAATTGCTAACGATTGGTCCGAGTTTTCATTGTAAACACTTATTGAATTTGTGTAATAGTGTCTTAAAATCTGGTACCATGTGCTGCTTTAGCAAACAAACAGTATAAAGTCCCCTGAATGGTCCCAGCAGGTCTTTCCGATGAACAGTAGAATGACAAAGGAAAGACATTGCTGGAGTGAATTGGGGTTATTTTAGGGGACACATTGACTGTTAGGGTTTTCTCAGTAAACATCCTTACAGTACACCACCCGGACCCCTCTTGCTATCTCTCTGTTTCTGGTATCTGTTGCGGCTCTGAGTCACTTCCTTTGTTTTATAAGTATCAGTGGGCGCAGCAGACAGGCTGCAGCTGCTCTCAGGCCTGTAGTTCAAACACTGAGCTTCACATCTGGAGGTGGTTTCTCACCAAGCTGCACCAAAAACTTCAGATTAAACTAAGGAGTCTCATAGACACCAATGAATAACGTTTAGCACAACATTTAAAAAGAGATGTTTTATCTAGATTGGCAACAGAATTTGACGCTTACTGTGCAGCCTCTGAACATTATAAATGTAACCATGTGCTGATGAAGTGGAGAGCCAGGAATGGGAATGCTTTATGTGTGTGTCACGCCCTGGCTCAAGTGCAGACAAAACAAGGAGACCACACATGATTATTTTCCAATTCCAAAAAAAACAGTTAATCAGTAATGTGTGTAGTGTGTGGGTGTGTGAAGACGAATCGGTATATCAAGCAAAGACAAACAAACCAAGATCCAGTATTGTATGTGATAAAGGTTATTTACTGTGCTGGAAGAGAACTCTCTGCTCCATAGCTTCCCTTGGATAACTGGATAACTTTATATTCAATTGAATATTCCATTCCTTACACACTTAATTCATATATAATATCCTGCTTGATATTTAGTTTACTGTACATTTATATTTCAACATGTATATTTTCTACTTTTTTAATGCTATTTTATTTCTAGGTCTACATTTTGAATTGTTTATTTTTAGTCTTTTCATTCTCTAATGTACAATGCCTTGTCTTTTTAAACTGCTGCAACGCAAAACTTTCCCAAATTGGGATCAATAAAGTACACCTATCTTATCTTATCTTTCCCTTCCCTACAGGTCAGCAGAATCCTGACAGTCTTCGTTTCAAGTATAACTTCATCGCTGACGTGGTGGAGAAGATCGCCCCCGCTGTCGTTCACATTGAACTGTACCGCAAGTAAGAAAAACGACCTGACCCAACTTCCTGACAATCCTAACATTAACCTCCTTTTCTACTGTTAAGGGTTCAAATAGAGCGAAAGACTCAAATTAAATAAGTGGCCAATGATATAGTCTTTATTATTGTGTTACTTGCATCTAACATTACCTGGTGGTCAAATATTGCCATTAATACAAATTATGGTCTGCTGGCATTTCACATTCTTTTTGACTTTAGTGATTTATTCCCGTTTCTTCTTGCCACCATGAGGTTACTACTATTATCATTTTTACGTTGGGACAGCAGTTTTAAATACAAAATCAGTTATAATTAATTAATTCTTAGGTTTTTTTAAACCTAAGAACTTTTTAGGAGAGGCACAGTGTGCACACATTACATTGCATTTAGCTGACACTTTTATCCAAAGCGACTTACAGTAAGTGCATTCGACCAAGAAGATACAAACTTGAAGAAAGGTTTCATAGAGCCAAAACATTTCAAGTGCTACTCAACTGGCTTTTGATAAGCCAGTCCTTTATTAGTATATAAGTGCTTTGTTAGCAGTTCTTTGTTAGTAATTCTATCGCTCGAAGTGGAGTCGAAAGAGATGAGTTTTTAGTCTGCGCCGGAAGATGTGTAAGCTTTCTGCTGTCCTGATTTCAATGGGGAGCTCATTCCACCATTTTGGAGTCAGGATAGCAAACCCACGTGTTTTTGCTGATGGGAACTTGGGTCCCCCTCGCAGTGCGGGTGCAGCGAGCTGTTTGGCTGATGCAGAGCGAAGTGCACGTGCTGGGGTGTACGGTTTAACCATGTCCTGGATGTAGGAAGGGCCAGATCCATTCGCAGCATGGTACGCAAGTACCAATGTCTTGAAGTGGATTCTAGCAGTAACCGGAAGCCAGTGAAGGGAGCGGAGGAGCGGCGTGGTGTGGGAAAACTTTGGAAGGTTGAAGACCAGACGAGCCGCTGCATTCTGGATGAGCTGCAGAGGTCGGATGGCACATGCAGGTAGACCAGCCAGGAGGGAGTTGCAGTAGTCTAGGCGTGAGATGACGAGAGCCTGGACCAGAACCTGCGCTATTTTCTGGGTCAGCTGGGGACGTATCCTCCTGATGTTGTAAAGAGTGTATCTGCAGCAGCGGGTTGTAGCAGCGATGTTTGCAGTGAAGGATAGATTGTTATCTAGGGTCACACCCAGATTCCTTGCAGTCTGAGTCAGGGAGACAACTCAACACATGAAGGAACTGATACAGTTGAACATGTCAAAATATGTAAATGTCAATGTTGGGAAGTAGAATATCAATCAATGATGTTTACTTGAAAAAACAACATTACAGTGTCATGTACATGTATCTGGGCGTGACCGTGACATACAGCTCTGTAAAAAATGAAGAAAGCAGTCAACATTTTTCTCAAATCTCAATCTCTACATGTATGGCAGCCATTTCATTCCAGTGTCTGAGAAATGTTGTTAGTAGTTTATAAAATAAAATAATAAAACATTTCATTTTACTCAAATGAATGCCTGTAAATAATAAAACCAGAGAGACTGATAATGCTGCAGTCTCTTCATTTTTTTCCAGGGCTTTATTTGACAAATAGTGAAATATTGGATGTCTTGTCATCAGATTTTTACAGATTCATGTCCTCCTCCTTTATTGTAATAACTTTGTGGAGGACTTTCCATCCTGTTTTAACATTTGAACATGATTAACACTTCGGTTTATGACCAAAGTCTTGCAAAACTACAATTTTCATCCATTAAATGTGTCATCCCTGGGTTCCTCTGAACACACCTGCAGTTTACTGAAGCAAGTGTAGAAGTTTAGTTCACATTTATTTATGTTATTGAGTTGGATTGATGACCTCACGTTGTTGTTTGTGCCTATAAGTCAGGAGAGTGACCGTACCTCTTTCTACTCAGGATGATGTTCTCTAAGCGGGAGGTGGCGGTCGCCAGCGGCTCCGGGTTTATAGTATCAGAAGACGGACTGATCGTCACCAACGCCCACGTGGTGGCCAACAAGCACCGAATCAAGGTATTTTTAGCAGCCGTACTGGACTTAAGACATTGCAAAAGAATCATACTCGTAGTGTTTTTGTGATGAACAGTGTTTTTATGTTTATTCATGTATTTTATGTTTTGTTTTTCCTCCAGGTGGAGCTGAAGAGCGGAGCCAAGTACGACGCTAAGATCAAAGATGTGGACGAGAAGGCTGACATCGCTCTGATCCAGATTGATGTACCGGTGAGCAAAGAGAGATAGAGATAGATGGATGGAAAGACGACTGGGTGGTTTTTATCCCTGTTTTCCTTTTTTCCGGCCTTCGGTTTGACCTCCAAATTGCATTATTGCGAAATGTTGAAATCTGCATTGCGTTTCTCTTGTGTCTTCAAAGTTTGCACAAGTGTTTGAATTTGTTAAGTGGAGCATGTTCAGAGGAAGAATCGTGTGTTGTAAGACTTCTGGGAGTGATTACCATCGACCCAGAGCTGGTAGACTGCTCATTTATGTGTGGGATTATGTTCTTTTTGTACATTTGGGGCAATGAATATGCTTTTTCATGTGCAGTCCAAAAATCAAAACACAAAATCAAACTTGAGGAAGTGATTCATCTTAAATGGATAGCTAGGGTTGAAGTTAGTTGTATAAGGTACCTATCCATACAAATGAACAGCTTGGATGCCCCCAGTTTGGGGGAACAGCAGCACAGAAGTATACTACGTGAAAGAGGACGAAAAATAACCACCAACATACCCCGTCAACAGCTATGGTGAGAAATGTTTGTTGGAACATTTTTATTAAATAAGATAAGATAAGACTTTATTTATCCTGAAGGAAATTGCTGTGCCAGGGTTACAAAGATACAATAAACACCGCAGAATAATAATAAAACTGTATACTAACAGTGCAGTAAAAAGAGTAAATTAAACCACTACAAGAAACATAGATGGTCAAATAATTAATGTAAACAACTGTACAGTGATGAGCAGTATTGTAATAGTGCAAAAAAGCGTAGTGGCTGATAGATGATAGATACAGTGGGGCAAAAAAGTATTTAGTCAGCCACCAATTGTGCAAGTTCTCCCACTTAAAAAGATGAGAGAGGCCTGTAATTTTCATCCTATGTACACTTCAACTATGAGAGACAGAATGGGGGGAAAGAATCCAGGAAATCACATTGTAGGATTTTTAATGAATTAATTGGTAAATTCCTCGGTAAAATAAGTATTTGGTCACCTACAAACAAACAAGATTTCTGGCTCTCACAGACCTGTAACTTCTTCTTTAAGAGCCTCCTCTGTCCTCCATTTGTTAACTGTATTAATGGCACCTGTTTGAACTCGTTATCAGTATAAAAGACACCTGTCCACAACCTCAAACAGTCACACTCCAAACTCCACTATGGCCAAGACCAAAGAGCTGTCAAAGGACACCAGAAACAAAATTGTAGACCTGCACAAGGCTGGGAAGACTGAATCTGCAATAGGTAAGCAGCTTGGTGTGAAGAAATCAACTGTGGGAGCAATTATTAGAAAATGGAAGACATACAAGACCACTGATAATCTCCCTCGATCTGGGGCTCCACGCAAGATCTCACCCTGTGGGGTCAAAAGGATCACAAGAACGGTGAGCAAAAATCCCAGAACCACACGGGGGGACCTAGTCAATGACCTGCAGAGAGCTGGGACCAAAGTAACAAAGGCTACCATCAGTAACACACTACGCCGCCAGGGACTCAAATCCTGCAGTGCCAGACGTGTCCCCCTGCTTAAGCCAGTACATGTCCAAGCCCGTCTGAAGTTTGCTAGAGAGCATTTAGATGATCCAGAAGAGGATTGGGAGAATGTTTTATTCATAAACCAGTTATTGTTTTCAAGTTAGAGTATGGAACAAATATATGAAAACAGACGTTACTGTCTCCTAGTTTGCAAAGACATTCAGAAGTGTTCCAAGTGTCTGACAACGACCATAAAACCGGGTAAGGAGGTACGTCTAGAGGGAGATCTCGTTCATACAAAACCCCGTCAAGCGACCCGTTTGTGCCTGAAAGGTTGAGGGAGGTTTTAACAAGATCCCAACTCTAGACCTCTGACCGATCCGGTGAGGTCCTGGAACTTTCGAAGAATGCTTCGGTGAGAGAACGGGGGCCCGCCGGCCACAAACGCCTAGTAACAAGTACGACTTTCTGGAGTCGGTGAAAGTAGAAGTTACGTTGAAACGACTACGCTTCCCCCAACAGTGAGGTCTTTTGAGGTGCTATGTACCGGGGTAAGGTAAAGAACAGGAAATGTGCCTAGTCAGCAGGCCAGGGAAACGGTCTTTTTGTCGGGGTTTCTACTTACAAAAGGTTGGGTTACAAAGTGTCATCCATACCCACAAGAAACCTACGTTGGTCGCTAACGAAGAGAGGAGTTTGTACAGATCAACTCAAAAATGGTTTTTCAATAGATAAACCAAAGTAGACT